CACACACACACACACACACACACACACACACACACAATCAATACTTCCAGCTGATGCACTGATTATCTTACAGGCTGTTTGCTGCAGCTGGCTAACTTACAGAGTGATAAGAGCAAGAACAATTACAAACTTTATAATGGTGAGGTGATGTTTCTTTAACAATAATAAGATATCATGATAAAGTTTTCTAACCAAAACAAACAGCAGTTCTGCTAATCATCTGTTATTTGTGTTATATCTGGTAGATAGATCTGGTCAGTTATGAAAAGAGTTATTTGTGGAATCTGACCTACAGAACTGGACAGCACACAGGTACTGTATATTGCTCATTTACCGTAGGTCCTAAATCCTAACATTAATCCTAAGTGGGGGTGGGGGTCTCTCCAGATATCAAATTAAACCTAAAAAATAATTGCCAATAGTACTTAGTTTTGCCATGATGGGCACCAGCAACAATAAATAAATAAAATAGTAACCACAAATAGATCAAATAATATGATAGATTTTATTTGAAGGCTGCATGGAGTTTGGATTTTCTCTCCTTGCATGCGTGGGTTTTTCTCCAGATGCTCCAGTTTCCTCCTTTTTTTTGTCACTTCAGTAGAAAACGAAACTAAATATTAGTTTATTTAGTTTATTTATTTCTTCATCATCAGTGACTTTTTTTAAGTGAAGAGAAAATAGAGACAGAGAGAAAAACTGAGAGAGAAGTAATTAGAAAGAGAGAAAGACTGAAATAGCGATTAGAAGTATATAAAATATACACCAACAAAACACAGGACCACACACCCAACATCTGTCCGCTCACCTGAAAAATAAATGGATAAATACATGGAGGGCATACTGTATATAAAAATATACACATACCCATACATATATAAAGATATACATACATACAGCGGGTAAAATAAGCACTGAACACGTCACCATTTCCCCCAGCAAACACGTCACTAGAGGCACCAATGACACAAAACCCCCACCAGATGTCGGCAACAACCCAAGCRACCCACACACACAAAGAAACCAAACCATGGTTTGGTTTCTTTGTGTGTGTGGGTCTGTGGCTTGCCCGGAAATTAAGTCACCTGCAACTATGTGGAACGGCACAGGGAAAAAGCACAGCACACGCTTACTGAAAATTATCTAATACTTTGTACAAAAGCTCCATTTTCCTCCTAAAACAGAGCTGTCCAATCCTGGTCCTCATGGGCCAATATCCCACATGTTTTTACTTGTTTCCCCGCTCCAGCACACCTGATTCAGTGATTGAATTACCTCTTCAAGTTCTGCAGAAGCCTGTATTCAATCAAATCAGGTGTGTTGAAGCAGAGAAACATGTAAAACATGCAGGGGAGCAGCTCCCGAGGACCAGGATTGGACAGCCCTGATCTCAAAATATGCATATTAATTTATTTTTTATTTTACCGTTATTTAACAAAGCAAATCGCAGATCTCTTCTGCAAGGGCAGTCTGGGCCTGAAGGCCACCCATTGTTCATATCTTTGTGCATATTAGATTGTCTACTCTAAATTTATGTTGATGAGTGACTGAATGTTTGTCTCTTTGTAATCCTAATCTGGCAACCTGCCCTTGAACAGATTGATGCTCAGGAACAAACATTCATTAAATGTTTCTATATATTAGATACAATAATTTTCATGATTTGTTACTGGAAACTATATAAATCAGAAAAAGTTTAACTTTTAATCTCTGTAACATCTGTTCCCTCACTGAGACAAATAAAAGGTGATTTATGAAAATCTAAACGATGACTCATTCTCTTGTATGTCGCAAACAATCAGAATACTATTATTTAGAATATTATTATTTATTATTTGGTTTATTATTGTTTGAAATTAATCTATTTTTTTGTAAACAGGAGCGGATATCTAAGATTTTTTTTTCTTTTCTGCTGCCTTTCATTTTATTTGATTTGTATTTTCTTGTTGTATGTAAAGTGTTTTGTTTTGTTTTTTTTAAAAATGAAATGAATAAATAAATAAAATACCTGACAGCATCCTCCTCCAGCAGCAGCTTCACAAACTGCCGAGGAATGTGCAGCGAGAGGACGCTTTCCGCCATTTGCTCCAGGACACGCAGGTGGTTCCCATCCGTGGTGGGGAAACGATAGGTCCGAGACATGACGCCTCCGAACACTGAAACAGACGAGAATAAATAATGACAAATGTCACAGCAGCAGCTGGTCACTGTAACACGTAGAGAGACACTCACCGGCCTTCAGCATTGGATCTTTACATAAAGATGAAGATTTGGATTTCATGCTCACAGATCCGGTCAAGCTCTCGTCAACTGGGAGAACCATCTCACACACACAAATAAAACAAGGTTATTTACCAAAAAAAAAAAGGAATGATTTAGTGATTTGCAACAAATGATAAATCAAATCAGTCAAAACCATTTAAATATTTTAATTTTCCTTTGTTAATTAAACTGAAAWTAAAATATGTAATCACAACTGTACCACCCAGGTTTTATATTAAATTGCTTGTTTTGTCTATTAACTAAAAACAGGAAGTCAGAAAAACTGATGATCTTTTGGATGAAGCTAAACTAAGGTGGTGCACTAATGATCAAAACAAATAAATGACATTCTTATAAAACACTTGAGCATATAATAAAGATTTAAAAGTCACTGCACACCCTTCCATTCACAGTGTCCCCTCTCTGTAATCTTGCCACCGGCGCCCGCTGCTCCCGCTTCTCCTCGATCTGCCAGGCGATGACTGTGATGTTGCCGATGCGCTCGTTCTCCGCCGACCTGCCTCACGGCGACACAGAGTCAGAACCCTGAACACTCAGGCGAGCCAGCGCCGTGCTGGCTGAGCACAGCCTGAGTTTCTGCTCAGTTACCTGAGAGTCAGGTGCAGCCTGTGGTGTTTGTCCTGCAGTAGCTCCTTCACAGCAAACATGGACGAACCCAGCATGTACATCTGTCACGRTACACCACAGAGGATTAAAGACATAAAGTGGATCAGAGAGGATTTTGCTGAATGTGTTTGACATTTGAGTAATTTTTTTTATTGTGTTACCGTTCCCTGTGAGCGGTCCTTCACGTCATAGACTGWGAGTTTGACCTGGGTCTGCTGGGTGATGAGAGAGTCCTGAAAGAACGCTATACTGCTCAGGAAGATGGGATTACTGGTGCCCTGGAGAGAAACAAGTGAAAGCGGTTTGGAAACATCTCAGACAGGAAGTAGGAATAGGAAACTCAAGCGTTTCTACCTCTATGATCTCAGTTTGAGCATGCTTGGTCCAGAAGGCCTGAGGTGGCGTGGTGCAGCTGACTGCCACAAAGCTGGTTGGTTTGCGGTCCAGAGAGGGGGTAACCAGCTCACTGCAGGCTGCAACACAGAAACACCATAGATTACAACTGTGGGATTTAATGCTTGCAGCTAATCCTTAGACGTGGATCGGCTGTTTTATAGTATTTCTGAGAAGTTAGAGCAGGGAAATTACATGAATTTCTGGTTTACACTGGACAGTGAATAATTCACCATTTGTTGCTGTTTTTTGTGTTTTATTTGTTTCATTAATCCATGTTTGATTTTACAATTTGCTATTCGTAGTTTATTAAAAAGAATACTTCATCATCTTATACGTAGCCTCATAATTGATACATCACATGTAGTTTTTTTTTGTTTTCTACCAGCCTGTTTTCAGTTTATTGGATTGTTTTTCTGTTTTGCTTGGCAGGTTTGTCCAAAGCCATTGGTTTCTTTCAGTCCCCTGTTAAACATCTGTCAATCATCTGCAATCACCCCAGCTGTTCTCACTTAGTAATCACCTTGTATTTAAACACCTGCTGTCAGATCYTTAGGTTTGTAGTTCTTTATGTTTTTAGCCTTTTGATACTCTGCCTATATGTTTTGTTTTACTTGCTTAACTTTATTAAACCATTACTTATTAGTATACTTACCTGCTTTTACAAATCACATCATCTAAACCAGTGGTTACCAAACTTTTCAGCTTTCGACCCATAAAATACCAGCAGCAGAGACCTGTGCCCCCAGCTGTTGTCGGTTGATAAACATTATTTTCACATCAAATAAACAAGAGTGAAATTATTTATTATGCTATTTRTGTCCATTTTAAGTACATTAATCTTATTATTTTGTAACAACAAAGGCAAAAAATGGAAGTTGGCATTTTTTAGTGTAATTAGTTCAGAAAATATTTTCAGGACCCCACTGCGGGTCCTGACCCCAACTTTGAGAACCACTGATCTAAACCACATACTGAGTTTGTTGACGTTATTTTGTTTTCATGTTTGTTTAATTTTTCTTGAACCTTACTAAATTTACAGACTTTCTCATTTGTTTTGACTGAATTGGATTGCATGTAATTTGATATGACTTTGACCTTTAACTTACATTTTGAACATTTATTTCTCCATTGGCTTAATAAAACATGTTTTAGTTATTTCTGATCCTTTTTTTCTTGGTAAATGGTGCCAGATCATAAAGCATAAAGTTGTTTTAAAGGGGACCTATTACGCAAAGTTTACTTCTTTGACATGTTTTTATGCTTCACTTTGGGTCTGTACTGCTTCCAGAAACAGTCCAAGCACCAAAAAAATTCTCCCAGCTGTTTTTTGACAATACATAAAAGTTTTGTTAGTGTCAGTAAATAAGCTGTTTCAAAAACCTGCGGATTGTTACATCACAGTCCGGGTGACCTTGCAACGCCAAGGCGAGTCCAGCCCCTCAGAGACTCCGCCCACTTCTTCACAGGACGACCACATTGGTTCTGCTGTTTCTACAGCAGTCATAGAGAACAGAGATGTGTGGCTTATTTTTATTTTCTATTTTTGATGCCGATGTCCCTGCAATATTGCCAAAGAAAGTTGTAGTTTGTGCAAATAATTTCACAATGGACTTTGAAAACTTCTGACAGCACACAGCAGGATGTGGCCAAGGACTTTCAGCTGAAGGAAACTTCTGTCCCTATTGTTCCTCACAAATCTGCAGATGACGGCGGTGTAGGTGATGTGTGTTTAGAGTTGCTGTTTGGCAGAACATGATTTGTCATTTAGCACAAATTACTGTTGAACAATAGCGCACGGCCATGATCGATGACCGAGGAGGCAAACAGCTTCGTCTTTCCCCCTCCGCTGGCCTTGGGAAGTGACAACGACGGTACGTGTTGCTGCAGCATAGACCGCCTTTCCCCCTTAACTTCGCTGGCATCAGGAAGCAGTGACAGACGCACGTTGGCCTCCCCGGGCACCAGTCCGTTGCCCTCCCCTGGGGTGGCTGTATGTCTCCATCAACCAATTCGGCGGGGAGGAATTGTGCTGGAAGACTGGAGACTCCCACGCCACGGAGATTGTCCCGTGTCAGGAGCCTCCAGGCTGCTGGACGTGAACCTTGCCTGCCCCTTCGGTTCATCTCCATGATTTTGTGTATTAAATCTAATGAACATGTTTTGTATAGCCCACAGATGTATCTTAACTTGTTCAAGGAACCATAACAGTTCCTTTTTAACTTGGTGTAAAATTAAAGACTGAATGAAAGTAGAAACTTGAAGAACTGCTGTTTTTATTTAGGTACTTCAACAACAAAAAGACTGTTTAGAAAGCCTAAAATATCAGATAGAATTATGAACAAACAACTTACTGGATAAAATATGAATCATACATTGGCATTACAAAGACAAGTCCAATGTAGAAAAGTGTATATTCCAGATATTCAGGTGTGCCCCTGCCACCTGCTGGAGTGAGGAAGTGAAATCAGGTTATTTGTCTGCTTCAGGATGATCATTTTGTGAAGGAAAAATGAGTTGTCATCCTTTACCTGCTTTGTTAATGCACAGTTTGTGTCTTTGCACTGAAAACTGAACCCTGAATAAAAGATCCTTGAATAAATGTGAGGAGGAAAAGTGTGTTTTTAATCCTTTGTTTGAGTTTATTAACTGCTCTTTGTTTAAATATTAAAAACTTTCAATCCATTTTATGTTTCTAAATAAGTAAATTATCAAAACTGAGTGTTCAGTTTCATCCTTTGTATTTATAAAAACACAACCTGCCCATCTGCAACATCATTTATGAAATTCCACAACTCACCCACGCTAAACTCCAGCACTGGCTCGTCTGGGTCTTGACTGTTTCCTGTGTTACAGACAAAAAATAAATAAATAAACAAAAAGGTCTCGTTTCTGAAATGCCTCCATCCTGCATGAGACAAACGGGTTTCCATGGCGCCGGTTACTGTAGCTACCTGAAAGAGCGAGCCCCATCATCTCAGCGGAGAGATCAAAGGTGTTGGCCCGGTACACCGACCATGGCCGATGGCGGGGGCTGCGCTCCTTCCCGGACATGGTGGGCTCACGTCTGGGCTGGGGTGGGGGGATAGGTTCAACACTGATGCTGAGCAGATGCACAATTTGAAATGTGTGCTTGTGTTTTTTTTCCTTAGTTGTCAAGTAGATGTTTTAGAGGCATGCCAGAAAGAAACCTGGAAGAAAGAGAAGGAAAAAAAAGTGATAAAGTTTTGATTTTAATCATCATTTTATTCCAGTGACAGCTGAGCTAAAAATACATCACCTATAAATCTTGGTTGCAAAAGCCCTCCACATAATATTAACAGTGGTTTTAACACTGTAAGCATATTCATGATGCTTCCTTCTGAGTTGAACAAAATTGTCTTCTGAATTGTTAATGTGTTAATATATGAGGTGAGATAAATCTCAGAGTGAAAAGTGAGACTTTTCACACAGCTGCAGGGTCTGAAACTCAGAACACGCTGCACCAAACCGAACTTACAGCTGTTCCTCTGGCTTTATGTTGAACAACTAAAAAACTGAGTTCTGCTTTTAGAAACACAAATTACTTGATGTTTCCTTTTGTTGCACTAAAGAAGAAAACAAGGGGAGGAACTGCTAATTCTATTGCATTTTAATGCTATGTTTTGTTTTAAATCCATTTGGTGGCAGTAAAGCTCACATTTTATCACAAGCATAACAGAGAGGCATCTAAACCAATAAATCTGTTGAACTTGATGTTGAACAAATTTGAGAACAAACTGAGAAACCAGTGACAGTTACAGTGGCTATATCAACAGTTTCCATGATCACAGCCTTATTCATAACTTGAAATAGTCTTTACCTCCACAAACACCCCTTTACATAGAAAAAGGCATGCCTGCGGTGTGAGTCTAAGTGACAACTGGAGCTGATGATGCAAAAACTGCAGCACATATGGCTGCTTGTTGGGGGCAGGAAACTAAAGCTGTGCCAAGTGTGTCATTAACAGGAGCTTTGGCTGCCCTGAAATATTTACAATCTCTCCTATCTGTCCTGCTGAGCTTTCTCCTGGCTTCATCTTATGAACACTATTACCACCCAAAACCCATCAAAAACCAGAGATAGAACCTTTACCTCTTCTTTTCACAGTGCAGATCAAGTCATCAGTAAACAGTGTCAGAAATATACATCTAATAATTCTAATAATTTCAGGTTGTGACTGATTTCTTTGAACCTTTCTTTTACACCCCCACTAATACATGAACCTTAGCAAGCTGCACGTCTACTTCACATTTTATGGAGACCTAAACCTTCAGGTATAATTCTGAATATCAGATGACTCTTCTAGGCGGGATTGAGTTCTTTCTAATAAGTTGGTTCTAAACATCTGGCTGCTGATCTGAAGTAAAGTTGATTTTGGGAGTAGACCTCCTGCTTTATCCATCTATCCATTTGTGAAATTCACCTGTGACACAACATGTGCCACTTGTATGGGATAAATCTTGTGCCAGCAGGAATGAAATTTGAATTGCTCAGATTGAATCTGAATGTGCATAATTTGAAATTGAATGCATTGGTTTGAAAATGAATTTTACTAAATTGAAACTGAATTTAATGGTTTGAAACTGAATTTTAAGTTTTGTAACTGAATTAATTTGCTTTGAAACTGTATTTTGGTTTATTAAAAATTCAGTTTTGACTACTTTCACTTTCAGTTCCATAATTCAATTTCAATTCCAAAATTCAGATTTYTGTGWCACACATCCTGGTCCTTGAGAAAGCCAGCCAGAGTAATCAAACACAGATCCACAGATTTGGGTTTCACTTTGGTGAAGTTTCCTTTCTGTAATGTAACAGAGTTGATGCAATCCACCGTACAAGTGACAAAAACAGACAGTTATTTTATTGCAGTGATTAATTTTACCTATATGTAGAAAATGTAACATTTATATCACATCATGGATCACATAATGATCAGATGTTGCTGCTGACTGATCCATGATGTGGTGTAAATGTAACATTTTCTATAGGTAAAATTAATCACTGCAATAAAATAACTGTCTGTTTTTGTCACTTTTACAGTGGATTGCATCATCTCTGTTACATTACAGAAGAGAAGCTTCAGTGACGTGAAACATAAATCTGTGGATCTGTGTTTGATTACTCTGACTTGCTTTCTCAAGGACCAAGATGTGTGTCACAAAAATCTGAATTATGGAACTGAACGTGAAAATAGTCAAACTGAATTTTTAATAAATCAAAATACAGTTTTAAAGCAAATTAATTCAGATACAAAACTTTAAATTCAGTTTAAAATCATTAAATTCAGTTTCAATTTAGTAAAATTCATTTTCAAACCAATGCAGTCGATTTCAAATTATGCACATTCAGATTCAATTTGAGCAATTCAAATTCTATTCCTGCTGGCACAAGATTTATCCCATACCTACCAGCTGCAGTCACTAGAAGTTAAAAAGCTTTCTAGAATCTGGAACGTTCAGCACCACTTATTAAAAGATTTGGGTGAATGTATGTATTTATTTCACACTGTGTAGATTAAAGACAATATACAATAAACTCAAACTTGATTTTAAAACTAATACGACATTCATGAGTGTCTGTAAAGTTCTGATAACAGCTGTATTTTGAAATAAATAAATAAATAAATAAATAAATAAATACAAATCTCTGTAAGCTCTATGTCAGCTGATCCTTGCTGCAGCAGAGATATCTCTGACAGATAAAACTGATTTCTTTTATGGTTTATTTAGCTTTTTTCAGTCCTGTCAGGTGCCACACAATCTTCCTGCTCGCAATTTTCTGTAGCTTTGTGGTTTTGAAAGAGGAAACAATACTTTTAAATAGAACACATACCAGGAAGAGATACTGTCTAATACAGGCAGAGAAAACAGTGTGAACAAGTGAAAACACAGATCAAATAACAAATCACAAGTGCAGATATGAAACATTAAAGTACAGCAGGTGGGCTGATTAGATTCAAGAAAACACAAAAAGGGATTGAGTCAATAAAAAGAAAAATGATAAAAACAGAAATGAGGAGGTGAATGTCTGCACTTCCTGTGGATTAGCAGACTTTGTTGTTGTCCTGTTTTTGTTGGTATTTGTGTGTCTGTCCTGACACACAATTCAGTCTTTTTTTTCCCTGGTTGTCTGTTTCATGCTGTAAACGTATTCATGTGTAAACACCTCTGCATTGAAGATCTATTTTTACTCTTGAGTGTGCGCTGACGTCACGTTGCACATGTGAGATGAAAAACGACRTCTCCCATTGACACACAAACACCACATCCAAGTGCTCTTCACACCGTCTCACACTCAATACAGCGATGCTCTCTGTCAGCTTAATCCCTGTTTTGGAGACGGCAACAGATGATAATTACAGCATGGCTGCTCTGCCTCATTAAGGCTGCTGTGTCAGTGGGAGACATCTTTAACACGCTGTAATCTCAAACGCCTGCAGCTCTGAGGGAGGCTCTATAGGAAACCAAGAGTGGCTCTAATGTAAAGCCACGGGGAGGAACCATCATTGATACATCTGTCTCACAGAAAACATCCATCCATCGCATGGGAGAAGGCAAAAACAACAGAACAAAGTGCTGAAAGAGTCTCTGTCTGCTGATTGATTACTGACCGATTACTGACTGAGCACAAAAACAAACGCAAATTTGTAGTTTCATCATTATAAAACGAATATTATCTGTTTGCAATCAGATGATGACACTGGTTTATTAAAGATAAACATAAAAATACCAGATAATCATTAGCAGATACTTCATCTAATGAGTGTTTTTGTTTTCACCCCAAATGGATTTACTCTGTTGGTTTTATTATAAAAATCAGTAAAACATTAACATTATAATGACTTCATTATTAGTGAAAGCCTGAGGCAAGCCAAAACTATCTCACATTTAAAAATCTGGATGATTTTTAGTTGTTTTGGCTAAAATAATAAATAAACGAATGAATAACAATTGCATCATGAAGCTGTTACCAAATGTTTATTTGTGGATAAGCTATTTAGACTAATCATCTCAGTTCATAACTGACTGATGTTTGAGAAATTAATCCTTTAATCTCTATAATTAGAGTTTACTGTTATCTGTTCTTCCATGAAGTGCAACAAAACACGTCCTCTTCAAAGTAGTTAGTTCAATTAGATTCTACATTAAGATATTTACTTAAATCACATATAACACTGATTTTGAGTTAGTCTATTCTGTAAATATAACCCATGCATAGTTGTGCATTATTTATGGAAATGTTAGCTTTTGATGGACTTCATGGCAGTGGGTTTTTGTCTTTCTGTTGGCAAAATATCTTCTTAACCACAGTATGGATTTAATTGAAACTCGAAGACATTAATCATTAGGATAGTGATTAACATTTAAAGTCAGACTAATTCAAGATGGCTGCCACAGCTAACCAACTTCAGCAAACATAACAGTAACTCAGTCATGTTTAAACACACTGGGATAAAGCTGAGTGTGGTGGCAGCTGAGAATCATCTCTAACACTAACTCTGAGCACTAACTGATCAAACAAGGGTCAGGACTCATGTTCTGGATTACTTTTTCAAGTCACACCTGGACTTCCATATCTCTGCACTATGCTCACCTGTGCTTGTCTAGTTTTCTCCTGTGCTCTATGAGCTGCCTCCAGACACAAGTGCCAGATTCTCAGAGGGTTTATGCCACAGAAATCCAGCATTCGGCCCGTTTCTGCCTTCTGGACCTCTGCATCATGCCTGCCCCTGCCTGGTTTGGTTTTTTTTTTTTTTTTTTGGACTAGGATATAATGGTTTTTACCCTCACCTGATTTATGACTCCTCTGTTCCTGCTAGATATCTGGACCCCTCCCATCTGTGAACCTCATATCACAATTTCCTGAAACTTATCTTTAAAATGTAACAAGATATTCATTTTTGTACTCCTGATGTAAATGTTGAGTTTTAATATCATTGTTTGCAAACTCTGATAGCTTTGGTCAAACTGATTAGAATAAAAGGTCAATAATGACCTAAAACAAGTATAAATCATCAGTGAAACTTTGTATATGTTAGCTTTAGTGCTTGAATGACAGGATGTAGCAGGAGAACAACAAACAGCAGAGAGGACTGAGGTTTTTGGTGGTCTGAAAACTAAAATGACCCAGTTTGTTGGGCTGCAGCTCACAGCTGTCCTCCTGCAGATGCTGTCAGCTGCAGCTGCACTGCAGCTCTCTCAAACCTCTGTTACATCTTTTTTTAGATTAAATCTCAAATATCTCTTGCTCTGTCATGAAGCCAGGCTAAAACAAACTCTGTCCTGTGCTGCCCTGCAGGCTCCTCTGGTTCCTAACGATATCGATCTGGATTCAGTCCTGTGCTGACCTGTGCAAGATGCTGGCTCAGAGATTGTGCAGAAATGTCTCATTAGGACTGAAATGCAAATTTGCAAAGGACTTTAAACTCCTAGGAGTTGTACACAAACACACACAAGGAAACAGGAGAGCATAAAAACAGCTCCATTTCTGAGAACTGAGAGACATGATGAGTATAAAGGACCACAGAAATGCCAGTAAATGGGATAAAAGCTCAGCTCTATAACTCTCATTAAAGAAGTGACTCAAGAGATCATTTTTAATCCTTTGCTCTCTAAGAGAAGCATCAGGGAGGCCTGCACTGATGGGCATGTTGCTTCATTTCACAGCAACAGTATTATTTTTATAATCAAATATCAACACTCTATTCTAAATCTGCAGTTTAACAGTCTGACCACAGCGAGTAAGTCTTTTTTTATTGGCAGCATCACTGACTCCACCATTAACTGTGTCTATATTTATTCACGGACAATAACAACTATTGCGTCATGACGACCCATTCAGACTGCTGCATAATGCTGCTGATCACATTAAGCAAGTAAAAACACAACCATAAACATCAGAATTCTCTCCGTCTCTGCTGCTTGTAAACACATTCTCATCAAGCCGCGAGCTGCTTTATGACAGCAGCATCTTCCCTCTGGGAGCAAACAACCCTTCCATAAAAC